TAATTAATGTTATTTAGAATATTTTAATAAAAAATTTAGATAATACTATATTAGGCTGTAACATTTAACCCTTTCCTGTAACGTCTAAACCAAATGAAATTGGACATCTGATTGGACAGATTGGTTCCCTGCTGACCAATCAGTGTTCTCTGCTCTGCTACCTTTGATGTGGAAAAAGTGACTGATTTCTTAAAGCTATGCGAAATAGTGAAAGACATGAGTGTATTTTGTCAATTGAATATAAATATTTGCTGGTTTTGTTAAAATGTCTGTAAAGTTATTTATTTATCTCTTATTTTCAATTTTATTTATTTTCTTAATATTTGAATCCCTTTAAGTCCTCAAACCTGGTGGTTAATTTGCAAAAACAACTACTTATGTTTACATGGACACCAATAATCCGATTCAAGGCCTGATCAGATTAAAAAATCGTCATGTAAACATGTCAGACTAAAGATTCTAATCCGATTTGGTCGACTCTGGAAGAAAGGTCATTCCGATAGAGAGAGTTTTTTTTTTTTTTTTTTTGTATTGTTTTTTCGATTGTTGTCCATGTACACATCCATTCAAATCTTTGCAGTAAAACTATCTTCTCTGCACATGCATGCAACATCAGCGTGACATTTTTCTCTTTACTAGCCTTCATCTACTGGCTCCTGGTCGTCCTTGATGGAGGAGGTGGCTCTAAATGTATCATTTGGATGAACATGACATCCTGCCCCCTACCCCTGTAGCAAATGGGCGTAGGCAAACGGTACTGCAGAGCCCTTAACTTAAAGGTATCATGGAGGATTGTAGCAAATTTTTGAAAAGACCCTCCCTCTCCACTTTTAAAAATACAATGCACATGCACAACCCTGTACCCGCTCCCGAGAGGTACCGCCTATTAAACATGTGCGAGAGCATGCAGGAGCCCATTTCTCCTCGTGCACGCTCTATTTAAAAGTTGCTGTTTGCATCGCTCATACAAGCTTACTTTCTGAAAGATTAGCAATTTTTCCACTATATCAGACTCACCACCAGTCAGTGAAAATGGGAACGAGCACGTAGGACAGCCTTACGTAAACATATCAACATCCTCCATTATACCTTTAAGTAAAATAACTACCGAAAACAAAAGTATGATGCAGCGAAAATCCAAAAAAAAAATTAATAGATGACCGAATTTTTTTTTTTTTTTTTTACAAAACAGCAGCTGCTTCTTCTACTACTTGTACAACTCGACAGCTCAAATGATTTAATCTGATCAAAAGCATTAAGATTTTGAATTTAATCCAAGATTTAGATTTGATCAGATAAATTTGGTGCATATAAACATAACTAATGTCAATTCAGAGGAAAAATTTAAGATTGAAATCAAGCCGTGCATGCTTTGCTTCATTTTGTGGCTTTGCTCAATCTCCATCTTCTGCGACCAAAAGAAATAAATAAGTAAATGTGATTTTTCTGCTGCTTTATCCCCACTGCAAAGAGCAAATCACAGGCAAATAAACAACGTCTCTAATGCATTAGGAGTCATTTCTGCCTCATTCTTTCTTCCCTGCTTCTGAAACAGTAGTATTTAATGTTCAAGTCCCTTGGACAATTATATCAGTAATTACTTGTCATATTCACTTTCTTTTTTGTGCTCTGGCCTTATGTTTCCTCTCAGAGAATTGGTTTGGGGAGCAGGATGCACAGTGTTTTACAGATGCTAACGTAACAAAAATAGGAGACAAATTGAATCAAAGATTTGGCTTTGAGCATAAAATGAGACTGCCACTTGGTGGCAGTGTTGCATCATGTTTAAGTTGCACTTCAAACGTTAAATCTGAAAACGGCTCAGAACTCTTCATCAAGGCTATTTTGTATTTTTTTTTTTAAAGAACTTAAATGGGGATTTTGGGAGGACAGAGGAAAACCGATGCTGTAAAGGCCAGTCCTTTTGTTCTTTTAAAATGATCCATGCCCCAATATTTTACAGATTTTTTATTTTATTTAAACATTTTTGTCCCCTTAAAGCCACAGTGTTTATTGTTCTTTTATTAGTATTTTGTGTGAATGATACAAATTTGCACATTTATTTCACATTGAAGGATAATCAAGAATATTTTCTTTAGTCTAAATCTAGTCTAAATCTAAGTCTAAATCTTAAAAATATGTGGCTTGTATAATCAGTCCCAGTCTGTGCAGAACCTCATTTAATTTCTGCTTGGGTCAGTAAAATATTTCAAATTGAATTTTGCTGCAACGACAGCTGCAGGTTCGGCGTTTTAGAACATCAGTGGCAAGTATTTCCACAGATTCCCAATTTTTTCTTGGTTCAGACACTAATTTCGTAGCTCTGCCTGGGTCCTCAGTCGTTGTCCTGGTAAGAGGTTAATCTGTGCTTCATGCAGGTTTGTTTATGGCCTCTAGGAGTTCTTGTTGCTTCTCCATAAATGCATAAATGTAGCATTCAAAGCATAAAGTTCTCATTTCAGCAGATTGTCCTTCCTTACGTGTGGGTCCACACACCTCCTCCAAAGCTTCACTTTAAATGGGCAGCAATCTTTTTGTAGATTGTTGTCGTTCCTTAATATAAAAGCTTTTTTTTTATCTAGTATTGCCTCTAATCTGCCTCACTTGACTTGCAATCAACTATGAGCAACTTCCCCACAGCATAAAGCTGCCAGCACCATTTTCACCGGAGGTCATTATCCGCATTGCAAGGCATTTTTTTCATGAAGCCTAAAACTTCCCTTAAAAATCCTGATTAGATTTTGCACAGATGGAGTTGATTAACTTTAAGGTGACCTCTGAACGCAAATCCTTGCACTGAATTTTATTTAGAGCCTTTGAAGTAAAAGAGGGTGAATAAAAATCCAAATCACACTTTTTTAAAAGTTTTTATGTTTATAATGAAGGAACTGTTTCCACTTTTTATTTATGCATATGTTGTTCTTCACTAAAAAGTATTCCAACAGAATACAGCGATGAGCTGTAACTTCACCAAATGTGGTTAAATCCTAGCTTGGAGAATTTATGGGTTGCATCATGGGAATCGGATCAGATTAAGCACGTTTGAAGTTTAATGTTTCCTGTATCATAGCTTTTGATTTCCACCCTAATATTCTTGATGTATCGCCACGTTCTCCCTCAGAAAGTTTCTTTGGTGGCAGGCTGAAGAAATGCCTGTCTAAAATGATTCCCCCAACAGCTGTCAGAGGAGCCTCCCTCATGGCCAGAGAGCCTTATGTTTCGGTCTCAGTGCCACTTAATGAGAAGGAGCAACAGAGGGAAAAAGGATGCTTTTCATCTCATCAGTCCCTCCCTCCTTTAGACTTCAGTCTGCCGATGGTGGCACCGGCCGACGGGCATCTGCGCCACTCTGGGCTCCCTTGGGGGCGTGGGCTCCACCAGTCGCTCCATAAGATTGCTCACTGTTAGCTGGTGTTTCCGCTCCGATGCAGGATAAATGGGAAATCAAGTCGCCAGGTGGGCAGCTGCGCCCGCCTGTCCGCCTTTAGGAGGCATAAATATTCATGTCTATCTTCACTAGCTGTTGGCAGTCCATATTTTTGTTGACATATGGTGGATGGGTTGGAACTTGAGCGGAGCGTGTGATTACTGAGGTGCACGCTCGTGTCTGGATCTATCAGTGTGTGTGACAGGAGCATGTTCTTTGGACACAGATACACGGCCGGCCTGATGACCTTCCGCAGGCACGCCAGCCGCTACCCCTGCGTCGTGTCGCCTGTTTGTAGCTGTTAGTTAACTGGTCAAGTTGCACTCTAACTAAAGCAGTCACTATTCCGACAGCGGCGTGTAAACACTCTCCTCAAACCGGATCAGGGTCAGCTGCTATCTGGGCTGTTTATCCTGTAAACCTGGTAAAATAAAGTGCCTTCCATATTTAATGGCATGGAGATGCATAAAGGAAAGCCATTAAAGTAAACCTCTACTTTTGCAGATATTTAGAAAAATCCTGCTTTTATTTGGTGCCAAAAAAAGATGATATAAACCCCTTTTCTCAGTGGAGCAGTCCTTAATCTTTCCCTTGAACATTTTAAAGACTGGAGCAAACAGATCTTTAGTCATTTTCGAGGTACAGCCACTCTGGCTCATCCAGCATCCTGGCTCCTCTCTCATACTCTCATATTTTCCCAAGTATTTAAGTCTGTGCACCATCATGGCCTTGGACGAAGGCTGATTTTGTATTCAACAATCAATTTCACTATTGACTTAGCCATATGTTTTGGATCATTATCTTGCTGAAGTTCCCAATGAACTCTTGTTCATGGTTTTCTTGCAGAGTCCATCAGGATTTTATAAAACCTTGCCCAGTGTTTGAGGAGCTCATTATGCAATGTACTTTACCAAGGTCCTAGAAAACCTTGGTAGCAAACTGAAGGACATTGGAAGTAACACGGATCCTTCACTATACTTAACAAGGAGCTTGAAGTTTATTCCCTTTACGTCCCATTAATAGTTTAAGTAAATGTTTCCTTCTCAACAACAACATTTTATAGAAATAAAGTTACTTCTAGCTGGAGTCTGTAGCTTTGGCAGTGAAACAAAGTAGCTGCAGGTGCCAAAACTTTACCACCCAATCATCTGTAAAGCCTGTTATACTGCATCAAGTATTACCCTGCATATTACACACATAGACAATCTTAATACATGGCACTCAAAAGATTAGTAGAGATGTATCAAAGCTGGCAGTTCTCCATATTTTGTGCAGTGAATTTATAATACTGATAAATATGCCATATATTTGGAAGTCCCCGCGGAAATTTGGTCTCAGCAAATATTGAATTCATTATATCCATGTTGGTTTTTTGATTGCATTAGCAATTTAATATGTTGTGCAGGTCTATGTTCATTCTTTGTTTGCATATCTCAGTCTTATCAACCTGTAGTTTCTTACTGAAAAATGTAGTGTTGCTTTTATTGGACCAATTTTAGTCCTATTAAGGGGTAAAAACATCAATTACCAACATCTATTTGAGATGGGTTGATGCTTTTTTTCTTTGTTTCAGGTGGCGTGTTTGATCAGGGTGCCCACAGAGGTGGTGAAACAGAGAACCCAAGCCTCTCCTTCCTCCACCACATATAACATGCTGCTGGCTACACTCAAAGAGGAGGTATCTGCACATCAATGTCTACCTAAATTATTATCCCCAATGTGTATCTGATTTGTGGTACTTCTCTAATGCTAAAAAAAATCCCTGTTAGTTCCTGTTAAAAAAATAAAAGTCAGACTGCAACAGAAAAGATTGTTGTAAAACTTTATTTTAAAACACCAGGGGGAGCAAGTCCAGCAGATGAAGAGGTGCATGGAACAGTACCACATTTCTACGGGGGTCAAAAGGTGCAAATGCACTGTAAATGACGAAAAGAGCTGCAAAAAAAATTTGTGATGCAAACTCCAAATACACAAGCACAAGAAAAAAAAATGCAAAAATGAAAACGCTGCGTACAAAAAAAATGAAATGAGCTGTAAACGGACGCAAACATGCAGTAAATGATGAAACGAGCTCCAAAAACATGTATGATGCGAAGAATAAAAGACGCGCGCACTAAAAAAACAAACAAATGCAGCAGAAAAACGCTGCACAAAAAGAAAAAATGCTGCAATCACTAAAAATAGAAGCAAAAACCTGCATTCGACAAAACAAATGCAGACGGGGGGGGAGGCAAGTGCAAACATCATGATATAAAAAAAATGCTGCAATCACAGAAAACTGTGCAAATAGCAAAAACAGCTGCAAACTCCCTCTAAAAAAAAACAGAAGTGCTCCACATCACTAGAGGGAGCCAAAAAAAAAAGAAAAGAAAAGAACAAACTTATCAGACCTTCAGTACAAACAGGAAGTTGAGCTAAAACATAGGATTTAAAAAAAAGAGAGAATTTTGAAAGAAGACAGGTGTGTTTTCTTTCATTGCATTGTCAAACACATTGTCTTACAGTTTTACAGAATAACAGCATAGTTGTATATACAAACTAGGGCTATAACTAACGATTGTTTTGCAAATCTTATAATCTGTCGTTTAATAATTGGATAGCCAAAGGTTCTTTAAAGAAGACTTATTATGAAATTAAACCAGGTTAAACTTAAACTTTTCCACTTGAAGAGTTCTGGATACGGCATATTGACGGATTAAAATATTTAATCTATTACTAAATTAGTTGACGATTATTTAAATAATCGAATAATCCGATTAATGGTTTTAGTCCTAATAGTTACATAAAAATAACACTCTGGTCCGTATGGTCAATTCTTTATTTAACTCCATTTGATGGTTTGGAGCACTTCTTTGATTTACTGCTGTTTTTGCTATTTGCATCATTGCATGTTGCATTTGTTTTTTGTGGTTAGGGTGGTTTGGAGTTCATGCATCATAGATGTCTTTGCAGCTCATTTCAACATTTGCTGCATGTTTTCACCTGAAATTAAAGCTTAATTGAGTGACTATAAGAGAGTACAAACAGATTCAGCCCTCTATAGAAACTGCTCTTACTCTGGGGTTCTTTTGTAGGAAACCTTTTTTTGAGTTTGTATGGAAAGGTTGCAATTAGAACCTAAGCATGGAGTACCAAATTAAATGATTTTAATTGTGATTTTGTTCTTTTCTTCATAGGGCGTTCGAGGTCTTTACAGAGGATATGGCAGTACAGTTCTCAGAGAGGTAGGTTTTCTCTCACTTTCTCTTCCAATCTTATTTCATTGCGATTTTTATTTTCTAGACATGCATAAATTAGAATTGGGATGAAAGGAAAATCACACAGTTATTTATTTATTTATTATTTGACAAATACTATTGTAAAAATTGTGAAATGCATTTATATGAAGCTCCTGTGTGCCAATACTTTTACAAGCCTTATCTTACATTTACAATGGGGAAAGTATCTAGCAGCTTAACTCATTCTGAGATGGAAAAGTTTGTCCATTCTTTAAAAATAGCTCAGTCAGAGTGGATGAAGAAAATCTGTGAACCAGGATTCACTATTGGATTCAGGTCTGGACCCTTCCAGGTAGCAGTGGCTGCATGTGCAGGATGGTTGTCCTGCTGAAAGGTGAGCGGCTGCCCCAGTCTTCAAAACCAGGGGTCTTAGAAGACAGGGGCAGCCTGCTAACACACCTGCTATTATATGGTTTGGTTTGCTTTCCTTACCATGTCAAGCAAAAATAGATGATGATGAGGCTTATTAAGGTGGCAAGTATGGTCATCGGAGTGCAACAGGTCGAGCTTAGAAAAAAATACTCTAAGCCATTAAGATCTAAAGCTAAATATATCCTCAGCTGTCCTTGATATCCTCTTTTCTCTAAGTTTGACCTTGTGTGTTTTGGTCGCCACTTTGAGATGCCTTAAACTAGAACGCGGAGCAGCAGGGTTTCCTTCATTCCCGCTGTCATCGCCGGGCAGATTCACTCTCCAGAACAGATCACCTCCCTTTTAAAAAATGTGTTGGATGTTGCAATTAGTAACTGAAAGGGATCCTGTAAGACTTTGTACTTGGATGCACAGTCAGCAAGAGAGAGTTTTATGTTTTTTTTATTTATTTTTTTTATTCTGATGATTTTTGTTCTCTCTGAGACCTCTACATCCAACTTTAATGCGTGGTTGTTGATTGTTGATGTTTTTTGTGT